ACTAGGCTAAGCCCCGCCCACTGTGGGCGGCGCGTGCGCATAGTTGTGAGCTTCATATTTCAAAAATTCGTAGTTCGGTTCCAAAAAAGCCCCGAGCGGAGAAAAGTGGCAAACGATAGGCAATTAGTTCGTGGACGAAATGACTGAAACAAACCCATTTTGGGCGGGGCGTTCTACAGATGGGCGGTGCTTGCTTCGAGATTTTCAAAAATTCCCAGTTCGGTTCCAAAAGAGCCCCGAGAGCGGAAAAAGTGGCAAACGATAGGCAATCAGTTCGCGGACGAAATGACTGAAACAAACCCATTCTGTGCAGGGCGTTCTGTAGGTAAGCGTGCCTGCTACGAAACTTTCAAAAATTCGTAGTTGGGTTCCAAAAAAGCTCGGAGAGTGGGAGAAGTGGCAAACGATAGGCAATCAGTTGGCGGACGGAATTAATGAAGCACACCCCTGATGGGCGGAGCGTTCGCCGAAGTGGACGATGCCGAGGACGAAAACCCTCGAAACGCATCCGAAAAAACCCCACGAAATGGGGAGTGAGCTGAAACTAAACAGTGGTATGGCAGATGAACATAGTGAGGGGATAATCGTAGGGAGTATCCCAAATGGTTGGTACCGTCGGCAATACTTCATAATTCGGTTCCCAAACACACAAGTGTAGCTAATCGCAGTGAACGGGATATGTGCCACAGTGAATGGGAGTGAAAATCAAGGGTTCGTAAATCAGTATTTTATTTATTTGTTTAATTACCTACTATTTACTGCACAACAATTTAGGCAAATGCATATTCCTACTTTTGTCCATCCTCAAATCATTCAATACCGACAGAAAACATTGACTATACAGTAGTTTCACAGTTGTTTACCATTGGGAGGGTACTTGCTGATCTCTATCCTACTATATATAAACGGCGACGTCTGTCTGTCTGTCTGTCTGTCTGTCTGTCTGTTTGTCTGTCTGTCCGGAAATTCGGAACTACCTGAAGAGCCAGTCTCAGGGGGCGGGTCAAGGTTGGGATGGGTAGGGCATGGGCCAAGATGTACGAAACACACGTGAACTAGGCTAAGCCCCGCCCACTGTGGGCGGCGCGTGCGCATAGTTGTGAGCTTCATATTTCAAAAATTCGTAGTTCGGTTCCAAAAAAGCCCCGAGAGCGGAGAAAAGTGGCAAACGATAGGCAATTAGTTCGTGGACGAAATGACTGAAACAAACCCATTTTGGGCGGGGCGTTCTACAGATGGGCGGTGCTTGCTTCGAGATTTTCAAAAATTCCCAGTTCGGTTCCAAAAGAGCCCCGAGAGCGGAAAAAGTGGCAAACGATAGGCAATCAGTTCGCGGACGAAATGACTGAAACAAACCCATTCTGTGCAGGGCGTTCTGTAGGTAAGCGGTGCCTGCTACGAAACTTTCAAAAATTCGTAGTTGGGTTCCAAAAAAGCTCGGAGAGTGGGAGAAGTGGCAAACGATAGGCAATCAGTTGGCGGACGGAATTAATGAAGCACACCCGTGATGGGCGGAGCGTTCGCCGAAGTGGACGATGCCGAGGACGAAAACCCTCGAAACGCATCCGAAAAACCCCACGAAATGGGGAGTGAGCTGAAACTAAACAGTGGTATGGCAGATGAACATAGTGAGGGGATAATCGTAGGGAGTATCCCAAATGGTTGGTACCGTCGGCAATACTTCATAATTCGGTTCCCAAACATACAAGTGTACAGTCGTCATCCTCGCGCCTGATAGGAACAATCGGAGGACGCGGACGCGGGTGAATCAGCGACCGCGTCAGGAGTAGCAAACTGTCGGCGGCGCGGGGCCAGCTACTATGCGTCCTCTCACTCCCTACGCGCTCGACACGCGCCGCATAGTACTCTGCCGCCTGCCGATGACGGCATTGACGGCTGGCGCGGCGATCAGCTGATTATCGACTCGACGAAGCCGATTTTTCTTCAAAAATCGTCTTATTTCGGCCGGTTTTCGGGAAGGTAAGTTACTTTTCTTTCTTTACTTGATAAATTGTATTAGTATCTTGCTTTTTTTGTTGATTTGGTGTAGTTTTTGCTGTTTTAAATGCTTTTTTCACTATTGTTTTTATGTTTTCAGGTTTCGTCTGTTTTTTCCCCATTTCCCCCCTGTTTGGCTTCTTTTCATTACTGTGTCACGGATGTGTTCCTGTCTTTGCTGAGAACACTCTCTGACACGGTTTTGAAGACTAGAGCCGCTTTTACACCCGTGTTCCCAAGCTGCCCGTAAAAAAATGCCGGCTGGTGAGTATTTTAATTTATTTTTTGTTTTTTCTTTTTT